AAGTTCCAGTCTGACTGGTCATCTAGACACAAGACTGCATGACAATGGCTGGTCCATAGCCAGCACATGTTGGAATACACTTGTGGGACCTGAGCTTGCCATCCTAGTTCTGGCAAAGTCTCTGATCCTGAATTATACATGGTTTGTTAACCCAATCCCGAATCCAGCTACTTTGACAGCCAAGATACACAGTGGCTTAGAAGAGGTGGTGAGTAAGATGCCAGGTGTGGGGCATATGTAACCATCAGAGAAGATTGTGGGCCTAGGAAGTAAAGTCAACTAGATATGAGGAGAAGTAGGAAATTGTATTGATCCAGTTAGATACGCCAGAAGCAGTCGGTAGTAAGGGCACAATTCATCTACCATGTGAAGCATCACATTGTAGTGGTATATGAACTACTAGAAGATACGCAGGGTACGGCGCCTAGGGTTGATTATCTCCTGGAAAAAGACTGGTTTATGTGTGCCCCCAAAGGGTACAGAGTTGGACTCCCGCGGATGATGCTCACATACAATTATATATGACTACCCCTGATGACAGCCATCGCAAGATAGCACATGAAACTGCGATTCCTTGCACCACAGATCCCCGAGGTGATATATGGTAAGTACTTCACAGGGAAGAAAATGCAGGGTATAGTAGACCGCGATTTCCTAGACATGATCGATGATACCATGGTCTGCTTGACTTGTGCTATCCTCTGTCATACACTTAGGGCGTGGAAAACACCGGTACATATACTGGGCCGACTGACTTCATGTGTGAGTTAGTAGAAGGTAAGTATATGCGAACCATCGGGGGTACATGTGCAACAAATCTGGCTAACCCTCTACCAAACACTTGAGACCTCATTGCTAGGCAGATGGAGACATGGCGGGAACGTCCTGAGGGAATCCAGAAGAGTGTTCTTGAGAGTATTCGTCAAACGATTACCAACAAGTGCATGGAAAAACGTGGTGTCCACCAAGACCAAATAGAAGCGTATGATGATGACTGGGACGCGGTCAGTGCAGAATTAGAGAGCCAGAAGTGAAACCTGGAATCACAACCACCTCAACCCTGGCGCAGCAACAGTGTGATTGATTCACCCATGCTTGTCCTAGTAAGGCCGCGGGGCAGAAGAAATGAGTCTCAGGACACTGATGTCACTGCAAGTTTCGGTCAAAGGTCCACTGCCCTGGTGCTGGCATTGCTTGATTCTGATTGTAACGGGGGCTTCCTCAGGTAGATGGTGCCGGAGGATACAACCGCACCAAACTTCTAATCTCTCAAACCCAGCTCTTGCAAGGTGTAAAGAATAAAAGTAGACAGTAAAACTTAATATCGTTAAGCTCTGGCTTATTTCAATTAAAGTCTCTCGAGATGATATTGATTGTGTCAGGGTAGGAGAGTCCTCATATAATCCTTGAGGAGTCAGACTTATCCCAAAAGCTCCCTCATCAGGTTACCCCGACCAACATGTGTATTCCCTTCTCCGTAAGGTTTGCCCAGCACCATTACCGTATCTCCGAAGGGCCTTAGGTGTCAGCTCACTCGAGCAGAAATCTCCTATATACATATCAGTTCCTGCAAGGTGTTTACCAATATACCTGCCAGAAAGAAAACTTCTGTACATCAGAGTCTCGTAAGTGGCTAACTGTCGAGAGACCTAGGAAAACTAACTAAATAACTCTCTTCCGATGTGCTACAACCTATGAAAGCACTCGTAGACATTAGCTTTCTTCCGGTTAAGTTCTATCTATCTTGACTGTGAACTTAGAAGGTCTCTAATGCTCCCGCGGAGAGCTATAGTGGCAGCGGGACCCATGCGTGCTACCCTTGGTCCCTTACCTCCAACACACAACTCACCGTGATAAGTATCATGCTATTAGAGTCTTCAAACAACCCACCAAGAGCCTACTGCAAAGGGGCACATGTAGACTTGATTGGCATAAATCCTTTCCAGATGTCTCTGGCACTACCCAGGACAACTATGGGCACCCTTCCGGATACCTTACACTAACTCCATCAGTATTGGTCCATTTTACTCCATTCCCTGTGCAGGAGTCAGAAGGTACCTGAACTTCTCACCTTGGCCCCCTCATATATCCTGTGGACAGCTTCCAGTTGGACTGATGGCAGCGACATATACACTGTTATGGACAAGTCTTTATAAATTGCATTTAACTAGTATGATGGCAACTTCTACCACTTTGGCCCATGACACGCGGGGCGAACCCTGAGGCCGCAGGTACCTCTTAGGAATGATTCTGCCAAGTTACACCATGTTCGGAGCACTCTAGCTCCTCCCGTAATTGTCTGATCAATATGCAAGCAAGTGCCAGTCGATCGTCAGTGCGTAACAAACAATCCTAATATTTCACGGAATCTCTCCGAGAACATTTCTGACGGAAGGTAGGGTAATAGTGTTCCAAACATAGGGTAACTATGTCGATGGTGACACGAAACTGGTCTCCATGGTAGGGTAACATGACTCTCCTAGACTGGGTAAACTCACTCAGCCCTCCAACCTAATCTTAGGCCAGAGCGGACATAGTGACATTACTTCCGCTACTTAGGTACACCTATTCCTTAAGTACCTTCTGTTCCTTGGGATACCCGAACCATTGGATATCCCTCAGATATGCACCCGCATGCCTGCCTAGTCTACCATATGACCTCTTGGTTTGAGGTATTGGCGTAGCCTTAGGTTGCCATAGCTCTATAACATAGGATCGTTACACTGATCCAATCAGTGGATCCCTCCAGGACATAGTAGCATGTCTACCGATGGAGATTGATAGCAGGGCTCCTCTGGCCTTACAGCTATCACTTAGTCTTAAGTAGTCACCTGCGGAACACGGATTTGTGGTGGAAAGGGATCCCACCCGACTGGGCAGTCTATAGTAGTTGCTTATCATGGAGGAAAGGTGGGGGTAGACTTCGTGGGGTCGCTACTAGGTTATGGGTGAAGGAAGATTGGAGCAATCACAATCGGAAGAGGTACTGCACGGAGACACCGTAGGAGCCAGTGTTTATAAGGAGACAGGGACGTAGTCCGGATTTCACCGCCACGGCATAATATTGTTCATAAAGCGTCAGGCTCATCTAGAAGGAATCTCACAAAATTAGGTAAATAAGTCTGTTAGGTATAGATGAGGAGGAAAGATCCATGATGTATCGTGACTTGAAATATCAGATAGCGAGAACCAGGAGCCACAAAGGTCCAGATCATGATTGATTGCTAGCAGGAGAATCAGGCCAAGAAACCAGCACCAGGCGACACAAAAGGTAGGTAAGTTGAAAGATCTGGGTGCAAGGCAAGTTGGCGCAAATGTCTGTAAGGCGTACTAGTGGAGGTCAAGACCACCAGTTTGGGCAAGAGATAATTCAGATCTTTGGGCGCTGGGTCATCACATTGAGAGTTAAGAGGAGTCTTTTAAAATATCAGAATTAATACTGCCAGTCACAGGTAGGGTTGGGAGGTCAGAGGCCATGGGATGGACAAAGTCAGAAGGGACGGAGGAGAATCAGACAATATCTCGAAGTAGCAACGGGTCACCGGGATAGTCAGGATGCAAGGAGAAAAAAGCGTAGAATCTCCAGACGCAAGGAGAGCAAAGGGTGGAATCTCCAGAGGGGAGGAGAAGAGAGCATGGAATCTCCAGATGCAGGGGACATCGGCATCCACGTCCGGTGGGGTCAGGACAGGTTCCATAAGAGGAAGGCAAATATAGATGTGACGTCCCCTCAATGTTTGGTCCAGATTAACCGTTTGCATTTGGGTGTCCTGTGTGTCAGATGCATGGGACGGACAGGACGCAAAGTGAAATATTTACTAATATATTCTTCCACCTGATTCCATCAAGTTACACTTTGCGGCAACCTTCCCAATCATAATACAATGGAAACTCTACTATACAGCCATGGAAACCACACCTCATATATGTAATGAAAAACTCCATGTGCCATTACTCCTCAATAGCGGGATGGCCATGACAATATCCTTTCCTTGAGTTGCTCCTGTATTGGCACGTCACTTGCAGTCCTTGATCATGTATCCTCAAATGCCACATTTTAGATACAAGTTCTTGTTTTGTTGACAAATATATTCTTCTCTCCAGAAGTTGAGTGATGGTGTTCTCCTGGTCACATCTATCTCTATCACATTGCCTCCTTAAGTAGTAGTTCTGAAAGTTCCATTCTGATTTCTGAGTGAACCTTGATTCTTTGTATTTGTGTTTGGTATCGTAGTAGACTGGTTCCTCTGAATCCAGTCTAATTGTCCAAATTGAAATTCTTTCTGAATGGCCCAATAGGTCATGGCTTCGGTTGAAGCAAACCTTTCTTCGCTATATCTGTATATATCTTGATATGCTTTTTTCAATCCTTTCATGAACTACCTGATAGCTAATGCTCGTTGCATTCCATGTTATACTAGAGGAGTCTGGACTTGTACCAGTAGTCAGTAACATTTTTTCCTCCTTGATAAACTTTCTCCAACTTGTTGCATGCCAATTGGCTCAGTTCTAAGTCTATAAACTGCACCTCGAATTGTGTTCTGAAGCTGTTCCAATCAGTCCATAGTACCATTGTCTGACTAACTACTATGGGGGGCATCCATTGCAAGGCTACTCCTTCAAATAGGGTTCAGGTGTATTGAACTTTCTCGCCATCATTCCCCTGTGTCTATTCTACTACATCAAAGTAGGTAAGCAGCTGGACTATGAATCCTCATAGTTTGCTTCTTTCTCCATTGTATCTAGGAGATGTCTTGACTTTTGGCTTTTAACCTCCTCCTCTTAATACTTCCCGTATTATTTGTTCCACTTGTTCTTGTGAAATTATTGCTGAAAGCGCTGGTCTAGCTGGTCATGGGCCTGCTGTTGGTGCTGGTCTTGACATTCAGTTAGGTCTGGGAGTATCTGGTACTTCCTCAGTATTTCAGGGTGTGACTGGGTCTGGTATAACTGGACTTGCCATTTCAGCCAAGTGACGACTTGCTTCTCTTAATGCTTCCCTAAATTCCCTTAGTCCTAGACTATTGTCTTGTAGGTCCAAATCTTGTTCCATGTCTCAGTTGAAGAGAGCCATAGTATGATCGTTAAGTGTTATGTTGTAGACACATTCTAACGTTAAGAATCCTACCTGGCTCCTGGGTGCAACAGGTAACGATTCTTACTACTTGGTAAGATCATAGTTCTTAAGCCATTGCCTATGTGATATGGATAGTCAAGTCATTGGACTTCTATCTGCTTGCACCTATTCCTCAATCTTATCAAGTCCTCAATTTGGGCTTTGAGCATTCATTGTGGGACTAGAGATAGTTTTCTTGCTTCTGCATATAGAGTAAAGAGTATAAAGATGTTCTTAAAATAACAAATGTAGGAAATAAACTAGAAGAACATGTAAAGAGCTTATACTAGGGGTCTAGTGACCCTTTATATAGTCAATCTTTACCCAGCATGACTCATACCTCATATCATGCAAACCTTGTAACTCATACCTATGAGTCATATGAAATCCATCAGCTGACTCCTATGAGTTGCTGCGCAACATACCATAAACCAATTACAACCCATAACTAAATCAGATGCGCAACTTGGGTCACCTGAGTGAAACCCATGACTCATAATTTGAGTCATGTGCGAAAATCATAACAACATGTGACTTACAGCTGTGAGTTACAAACAAGTCAATATAATAACCTACGGCACACTAGTGTACGTCATGTGAAATCCACACATACTTATATCTCACAATCCCTAGCTATGTAATATCTGCCTTACTTAGTCACAGTTTGTAACACCATTCCTTAGTGAGGATACTACCTCACTAATCCTGTATATTATTTATAGTTCTTAGACATTCCTACTAGTATAGAAACCTCCTAGCTCTGCACAACATCAGCTAGGATGTTGTTCTAGAAACTTCATTGCTCAAGACATTGATTTTAGCAAATTCATATTGCCTTCATTCACTTTTTTTGTTGGTTTGAGATGCAGCAATAGAAAGATTGAATATTTACTAACAAACAGATATTTAAGGGTGCGTCTGGTTGTCCCGAGTTTTTCAAACCTTGATAATCACAAAACCTGATTTGCAGGCTGCAACTGAAATAATCGCAAGTTGTTATAATTGGGAGTTTTCACACTCCCAGAGGTATGTCTGGTCGCCTGAAAAATCAATTCTAAAAAGGTCACTCAAAAAAATCAGAATAATTAATGTGGGAAAGACATTGGCACCTGTATTTCAATACTTATTTTTTAATTTTTTTACTCCACTATTGGTAGTGGGAGTGGATTATTGTAGCCAATGCGCACCACTCCAAAATAAGAGTTTGTGAAATACTGGTCGGACCAGTATTTCAGAAACCTTCATTTTGACATCATTATTGCATTTTGAATATTGTGTTTTGGTGTCGACCAGACATGCCACTCAAAAGCAAAATAGCATTTTGTGACAAACCTTCATAACCGGGGTCAAAATGAAGGTTTGAGGTGGCAACCAGACGCGCCCTAAGTTTACATAATTATATTGTAATATACGTAACTACTGTTATACAATAGATCAATTGCAAAATAATATTTAGCAACAAAGTTTTTATGGCAATACAGTTTCTATGAAAACAGAGCCTGTATGGCAATACCCAAGGACCATTGAGCTGTCAGGCACTCTCTGGAGAGTACCCATAGTTGTGAGCCAGCGAGAAGTCGTGGATTGTGGCACAGCCACAACCTTGGCACGGGTAATCTTTGTATCAACCCCGAGCCAAAGTAAGCTCATGCTTCGAGTAGTATATTCGCGTAAACCATACAAATAACTTTTCGCCAAACATTAACATTAACAAACAAAACGTCACCAATGCCATCAAAATTCGAGAGGGAAAAATAGAAGGAAAATATGAGGAGGGAAGAAGAAAGACCTGCCATGTCGAAGACCAATAGTTAGAGAGGAGCATGGACACAAGGTAACCAATGGTCTCCGAATAATATAATGAAAAGGCACCCGCTCCATACATGAGAACTGTCTATTTTTTGCTGCTTTTATATTTTCTTTTCTTCTTCATTAATAATATCCCCGGACCAACCGGGCCAACCACCCAACCTCCACATCAGAACCGACCCTACCCTTGAAAGAAAACAGCGGAAAACTAACATGTCTTAGAATATAGTAACTCAATCTGCTGAGAAAACTAGGCATCGCCGTTGCCATTGCCACGACGACGACCGCGCCCGTTAGAATCTCCGTTCCTGACGAGACCGAGGATTATCTCTTTGGCCCTTTCGATACCCTCCTTGCTCCCATGCATGACAATCGGCTCACCGACATCCTGGCTACGGGGGACAGTGATGCGGCAACCAGTGTCACGACGGATCTTCTCCACTTGGCTTCCACCGTGCCCAATGATAAGGCGAAACTTAGATGAGTCTGGCAGGACAAGGTATCCCACAAACTGCTGTTCTGCCAAGGTGACAGCTTTTGCAACCTCGGCCTTTGCTTTCGCAATTTGCTCCGGCCTTCCCTTGATAACCCATGGGAAGCCGCCCTCTTCACCATCCTGAGTATCCAATTCCACAATTTTCCAAGTAAAGCGTTGTGAGGCATCTTCCTCGTTATCGGTAATCAATGGCAAAGAGCCGTTGGGGTCGGGCCCCCGCTCTTCAGGCTTCGGGGGGCGCTGCTGTCCATTATGGTCGACAGAAACCTTAAAATCTTGTTGGAGACGACGGACAAGCTGGCCACCGTCGGCGACGGCGTGGTGCAAGTGAGTCGGGATCACGATTATCTCACTTTCAAGCTCCTTGACCATTTCAAGAATATGGTCCTTCGCCTTATCAACGTCCTCGGCGATACCTGTGATATTGATATCAGGGCTGGGATTGGTTTGGCCAGGGTTCTGTCGGGGGATATCGATGGTAACCTTGAACTTGGCTTCCAACTCCTTGCGGATGCTTCCCCCGCGCCCGATGAGAAGTCCACGCTTTTCCGGCGCAACCTCAACTGTCACGGTGATCAGGCTCTTTTTCTGCTCCACAATCTTCTCAATGGCGCAAGCGATCCTATCGACAACTACGGAGTTTCCTTGAACAATGATCTCGTTGCAGTCAGACTCCAGGTCCGGGAAACGTACCGTGCGGTGTAGCGCCTGTTTATCGTTAGGGCCACCAGCACCAACAACGATCTCCAGGAGAGTTTGACCTATACAAAATTAGCAACCGACCAAACCCGCACGTTCTGACTGTCCTACCTCCTGGGCCGATCAGAGAGCCGTGGTGCTTCTTCTCGACGATGATCGTTCGCAGTGTCGTCTGCTCCGCCTCTTTTACGATCTTGGACAAGATCGTTTTAGCATTCTCGACTTCGTCTTCAGTTCCACGGATTTTGATGACGACCCGCTCGTCCTTCTCAACAGCATCGCGCAGTGGGATATCAAGTCTGACATTTGAATCATCCCTAAGTTGCTTAATCTCCTTGGAGGCATTCTTGAACATGAACTCGAGCCCCCGCCCCGTAATGGGGATGGTGGCAGTGAAGCTCTTGCCCTTCTCATACTCCAACAATGCAAGGATTTCAGCACGGGCCTCGCTCACACCATCCTTGCCACCCTTGACGATGACTTCGTTCGCATCCTGCTTGGTAGGAACGTCGGCACCATCGGCATCCTTATCTCTACCCGACTTGGGAAACATAATACGAACACCATACCTTGTCTCCAACTTGCGAACAGAATTTCCCCCGGACCCAATGATAGTAGAGTGAAACTCTTGAGGAATCCTGAGACGTTCGACAGCTTTGTCCAAGTGCTCCTTGATCTGCGATTCGATTTTCCTCCTGGCCGCCTCCACAGCAACCTGAATGCCCTTAATCTCACCCTGGCCCTCTTTGAGATTAATTTCCACCCCAAGTTCAGCCCTCAGTTTGTTGACATTAGCACCCTTTGCACCAATCAGCTGAGCGGATAGATGAGTAGGGTAATCAAATTTCATAGACACGATAGGGATATTTCCATCCTTGGGGATGCTCGCAACAAATCGCTGGATCGTGACGGCCAAATTGTCAACATTCGCCTTGGCTCCACGGATGGTAATCTTGTCCTCATCGCCTGGCGAAGGAGCTGCTGTGGGCCCCCCGGGCCGCGCTTTTGGCGCACCGAAATGTACATGGACGGAGGCCGGATTCAGAGCATTGAGAGTGGTGCTTCCCTCTCCCTGGACCTTGGCATGAAAACTATTTTGAACGGTAATAATCTTCTCCACAACATCAAATTTCTGCGCCTCAACCAACGACAAAATATGCTCCTTAAGATCCTCAAGTGACTTGGAAATCTCTTCGGGATCCCAGGAGGGCCCATCATAGATCAAGACAATCTCCGCCTCTCCCATGTCCTCCGGGAGAAGAAGACCATGCCCGAAGAATTTATCAGTAATCCTTCTCACGCCTCGGCCGTCCTTCCCAACAATTAATCTATGATGCAAAGGTTCAACCTCAAATCGCAAGATATGGCCTGGCGTTAGTTTGCTATAGAGCTCCAGGATCCTAGCTTTCACCCCATTAACACTATCCACCGACTTTCCGATAATATGAATGACACACGGCTTATTGAGGTCATGTAGCTCGCCACCAGATGGTGCTGTAATTTCGAGATCAAACTCGGACTGGAGTGATTGGAATTCTCCCGTGTGATAGAGATAACGGGTTATATCTCGTGCCAGGGGCTTGGGTCCACCGGGAGCACTGAGATAGGCCTTGCACACATCAATTGCCTCTTGTTGATAGACATTTGATGCCCTCATGACCTCCTGGTAGCCTTGTGGGATCTTATCGCTCGGCCCATAAACGATAAGGCTATCAGCCTTGGCGCCCTCGGGTAGGATAACGGTACACCCAGCCGTGGCAAGAACCTGGTGTATCAGCTGGCCCCTGTTTGAAGCGAAGAAACGGTGCTTTGCCCTGCTGACCGGAACCAAGACAAAATGAAAGGCAGCCCTGAATTCCGCGACCTTGAGGTCAATCTCAGCGCGAAGCTCCTGGACCGCCCTCTTTTCTCCGGTGATGACGATTGGGCCGGAAGGAGGGCTGAAAGGCTGACTCTTGGCCGAATAAAAGTAGTCAGGAACCTGTACTCTCTGAACCTTTGTCTCGTACTCTTCGATAAACTTTCGATGCGGGCCTTGGATGAACGGATAAAATTCGCCAGGGATATCAGACAGGCGAGTGGTAACAGTGATGGTCTGGAAGATGTTAGCTAGCAGTCTTATGGAACGGACAGGCTAACTCACCCTCTCTGTAACGATTTCATTGATCTTGTGGACAGCAATCGGAACACCGTATTCGTCCCCCTCAATTGTGATGTCGATTGTGTCCTCATCGTCGTACTCGGGAGCTGGCCCATCGGAAGCCTGCAGCTGCGGAACCCTAATCCGGGTAGCGGTCACACTCTCCAACTCTTGCACTTTGGTCCCGGCTTTCCCGATAATGTAAGGTCTCACAATGGCTGGAATTGTAATGGTTTCGGTTTTCTTAAACCTGAATCAGCATTGAATCTCCAACCTTGAGCCCGCCTTCCCTCATGAATCATACCTTAGCAGACATTTCCTTGTGAATCTCTCTGTTAGCCCTTTGCCTGCTGGCCTCGGTTCCGGAAATAATAAAGACGGTAGTTTGCGTAGATGTCTGTTGCATTTCAATCTTGGTACCAGTGCTTCTCATGATATCCTTGACTAATTCAATACGAGTCTTCCTCAGCTCGCTCACAGGTCTCTGCTGTGATGGCAAAAGGTAAATGGTAGACTGACCACTAGACCCCTGGACAGCCGGAGTGAAAGAACCAGTAGAAGTTGTTGCAGATTCCCCATTACGCCCATTACTATTTGCCACCGGGGGAGCCATACCAGCGCCCCACCCGGAGGAAGCGCGAGCGGGGGTAGGCCTGCTGGAAGCACCGCCGAGGTTAGGGAAGGCTTCATCGGAAGAAACATCGAGACTGCGGACCTTAGGCCCCTCATTCTGCTTCGGGGCTTTCTTCTCGGCCTTGGCGATGAGGGCACCAGTGACAGTAGCATCTTCGTTCTTGACCTCCGAAGTGAGAGTCTCTTCCTGAGCAGCTAGGGCGTGCTGTTGCATGAGCTTTGCGGCGGTGGAGAGTTCGACTGGAGCTTCATCAACTGGAGCAACGGGGGTAATTTGGGAGGCACTCTCCCCGGCGGGAGCGGCGCCATCACTGCCGTTGATCAGTCCAGACATGAAGTTGGGTCCCAGAAATCGTTTGGGTGAGAAAGCCTTTCGAATACAGATAGACAGTATGGGTTCTCCCTCGCGGAGAACTAAAGATCCATAATGGAGACAACGATCAGCCCAGGAAACCACCCACAAACGCAGGAAAAAATAAATTGGGTGACAGGAAATGAGATGCTGTAAGGAAGCTTCGATAGCAGTGGCAAAGCTTTACTCCGTCGGTGTCTTTGAATGAACCAACGCTCAGGCAGAAAAGGAAAAGTAGGGGAACCCAGAGAAAATGAATGGTAAACTAAGACACCAAAGGCTAAAATAAAATAGAATAGAATAACTCGGATTACGAAATCTGAGGGACATCATCGTACCTGGAGAATCTGCTCGAGATGTTAATTCCGGACTCCTCACAACGGGAGGGTGATAGTTCAAGACAAAGCACAGGAGACCCTGCTGCTACGCCACGTTTAAATGCGGAGGGGGTGGGGAAGGGGGGAGAGGAAGGGAGAGAGAAAAGACCACAGAGAGCAAAGAAAAGGGCAAGAGGGCAGCGGAGTGAGCTTTATGTTTCCGGGGGACGGTTCCGGGGAAGAAGCGAGAAAGAACACGGATGCCAGGTTGCGGAACGCCAAGAACGAAATGTGAGAAAGGGTCAAAAAGGACACGGGTTTATCATAGATTTTTTTCCTCCCGTCAACCCACCAGGCTCGGCCTCAGCTGACGGGACGATTTAAGTGCGTGGTGCGGCTGACCTACAGTACCGTACTAGTGCTACCGGTACAGGTATACATATCAGTACAAGTACTCTACTGTACAAGTACCGTAGGAAGCAAGCTTCCTTTCCGCTACTTTCCTGACCCCGCTTTTCGCCTTCCTAATCAGGAAGGTGGATAGGGGCCAGAACACCAAACACCCCCTCACAATCTTTCCCTCGCCTAACTTTTTTGGGGCTTCATATAGCTTGGGTACTCAACTTTCATCGTTTGGGTAATGCAAAACATGTCCTTTCACGCTGGGGCTTTGTCTTCTAGCCAGACTGGACTCTAAACTCTACCTTCCTCCCTCCTGGGTTGGCATCTCGCCTATATGCCCTGTGAGGTTTCAAACCTTCCACCTGCCCAGTTCTCTCCCCCCGGGTAGGGACGCAACTACTACGGGTCGACACTATGGCTGCGGGATCGGCATTGCACTGTCTCAGGTCTCGATTTGGTCGGTTGGCTTGGATGCACTCAGAGGGGGGCTGGCATGCCCTGGTCAAGCACCCCCAATACCACGAACATGAGAAAAGGTTCTCCCATGTGAACCTTCCTGCTTTTCAATGGCGGGGCCGGGAGAAAACTGTGGGACGATGTCATATCAAGGAGGTTTCTTTTGTTTGGGTTTCCTTTGTATTTCCTTTCTCAAGAGAATACGGTGTGGGTTTTCTTGTCGCTTCCTGCCGGTGCTTTGGGGGTTGTAACTTTGCGGTTATGGGGCAGGGCTATGGTTTTCTTAGTGCAGGATGTGCGGTTGATCCCATACGAGAGAGACTTGGAGCGGCTTGTTTTTCCCTAGGCCTGTGGAGGAGGTTTTTGACTGACATGCCAAAGAGGCCAAAACAGGGGTGTGGGGCGTTTTTTGTTATTCCAGAGGTGCCCTGGTGGAAGGATCCATGTTTTAGCCGGACTGCACCTTTAAAGCGGAGGTTTGCACCTATATAAGCAAATAAATTCTAAGATTTAACAAAAAAAAAAAACGAGTACCGTAGGAAGTAACGCCCTAAACCCCCACAATTCATAATTCAATGCCAACTCGCGGAGCATATTGAATTGCTTTTCCGGAGTTTCTGCCAAACGTGATCCACCTTCTGCTTCAATCCCCTCCATCCTTTACCGCCTGCATGTCGGTAAACGCCGTATTTCCCATTCTTTGAATCCTCCAGGTCGGGGGTAGGCCAATACACAACGCTAAACCATCCAAGACTTCCCAATCTAGTGGCCACCGGTATACAAAGTACTATGCCGGTGAACACGAGTCATATATCGAGGCAACTCTAGGAGAGCTCAAAGTATATATATATACTACATAACAGCCCCATTTTTATAACAGCTATCATACCTACAAGGAAAGACAACCAGGACCGCACACCAACCCGCGTGAAAACCACCGATCCAATAGCTAAATGCAGAAACCACGATGCCCCCCCACCGTTTTTTTAGACTACTTTCGCCGAGCACTATTCCAAAAGTACCAGAATTTAATACAGGGTTAAACAAGCGAGGATGAAGAAAAGGGGGAAGAGAAGCTTAAAAGAAGAAAAAATGATAGAACCTGGGATTTGGGATATAGGAAACAAGGGCTATTGAAAGCAGCCGAAAACAGTAATAAACAGTAGAGCGTTCAGGCAAAAAAGAAAAGTGAGAAAAGAAGAAAAAAGAAAAAAAAAGTGAATACAGGGGAAAGTGTGACCATACAATTGATATCAAGGACACTAAGAATTAAGTTACAGACACACAAGGTAGGGAATAAGGTACTATTATCCACGTCTGGCAGAAGACTTGAGCGGCCTCTTTAGCTCAGAGAGTAGATCATCGAGCTCAGCCCAGTTGTCGTCATTGGCTGCGAACTTGCGATGACGGCGAGAGAAGGTATGCTGGAGATCAAAAGTGTCAGCACGGCGTGCGATATACAAACGAACCAACACGAGAATTAACATACCTCCTCGAAATCCTCAAACTTCTCCCGGCAATTCTCGCAATATCCAGGACGACATTCTCTCTTAGGAGCAGCCTTACTGCTCTTCGCTTTCGCCTTTAACCTCCTCTCCTGTTCACTTCGATCCTCTCGGATCACTGTCCTCCGGTCCAGGCCGGGTCTTCGCCTTTTATCTATACCTCCTCCAGCCAAGTTCTGGTTATTCGCAGCAGCGTGGGGCAAATCCATCATACGCTGTGAAGCCGGAACCCCTTTGTTATTTCCCACAAGGACTTTGCGGTTAAGCTCAATCATAGTTTTAGAAGTTCCTGCCCGTCGACCAGGTTGATCGGCAATAGAAGAAATCATCTGCGAGCGAATGGCAGAAGTAATGTTAGATGGTTGAACTCCAGAAGCTACTGGTTCTCCACAACGGTTCTTGTCTGGATATGCGGAAGTAAAGGCGACTTCGTTGGTGGAGTGGACGTTTGAGCGCTTAGCGGGTATAATGGGTGGAACCTGGAATAATCCGTCTTTGCCAATAACCCCACTACGATTCAACCGGCGCTCACTGTTGTTCATCTCAACAAGTGCATTTCGGTCAGCCTTTTTCACCAACTCCTCGCGAGCATTAGACTTCGCGGCCCGCCCCCTCAATATCTCGAGCTCTTTCTGTCTTGTGCGCTCCATCTTCTCGATCTGCCGCTCCCGCTCCTTCTCCCTTTTCTGATGAACGGCTTCCTCAATGAATGGACATTTCCCACCACTAACGCTTCGAAACTGCGGCCAGCTCCCACATTCACGCTTCGCAACCTTTGCGTACTCCCTAACCATGATTGGGCGGTTAAGGCCCATCATGTCATGAACATATATAAAATGCCCCTTGAAGTAAACAAGATCTGTGGTTGCCGCGTTCGGATCACGATCTGTAGGTCCATGAAGTCTCTCGTTTCGTAACACATGAGTGAGGTCCACGTTGGGGGCGCCGACGTGTGTTGCATGGCTGATCTCCCGAGCTTGAGTAGCGGTGGCAGTGGTTGATGTCACGTCAAACATAACATTCATCATCCGTTGAAATTTCTCCAGAGCCCATATCTTCATCCGGTATTCCCTAGCCTTCAGCAATATATCGCAATAAGCCTGCCTGGCTATTCCACGCGGGTCTTCCTGAGAGCTGGATGACGAGATCAGTATCTAGGATATATACATATATCAGGATAGCAAGCGAGCAACTTACTTTTTAGAAGTTGAATACTTTCGATTGGGTGTGGGTGCCTTGAAGGTAAACTCCGTCTTTGGTACGCCGCCATCTAGCAAAGAGGGATTGATGGTCGTAGCCTGGCTTTTCGAGCCCGCTTGTGCCATGGTAGCACCCTCTGGAGGGATCGCTCTTGTTGTAACGACATGGGTAACCGAGCTGGAGAAGAAAACTTCAAGCCTCTATAAACGCGTCAATATTTGCAAAAAGCTAGGCGGGTGCCAACATGGAGAGTCCCATCCCCGATGACGGACAGAAGTCACACACATACCGCTCCAAGGTGCGAGAGTTGTTTTTGACACTTCTGCGCGACGTCCTCAGGGATATTCTCGAAGTAGAAAACGTAATCCGGAAACACCTTCTTATAATGCCTCTGCCAAGCGCGTACGCTGTCGATATTGTTCTGCTCAGTGCCTCTCCCAGCACTCCTTCGCTGGGCTTGAGCATGGCTAGCGCCATTAAAGGCTGGTGGGTCACCACCCGCCGTAGACCGACCATGGGCCCTCTTGCGAATTGGAGCAGTCCTGGGTTCGGTATTGGAGGCCCGAGCAGGTGCTCTTAGGGTGATTTCGGCAATTTGGTCCTTGTTGACGGTGGTCGATTGACCGTACGACAGGTCACGTTGTGTTCGCTGACGTTTCGCTGCCGCGGCCGTGACGCTATGGTATGGAGAGTTTACCGCGTTCGGTAGAGTTGTCAGCGGTGCCCTCCGTGACATTGCTACGGGCGATGGAGGATGGACGGAGACGGATGCCATGGAAAGGGAGAGACAGGATGGCCTCTGGAGGGGAGTTCACGCGAAATTGGGCAGCGCGAACCGCTCCGGACGGTCGAGAGAAAAGTGGGCAGTTACCACCACCCCCTCCGGATGGCAGCAACAGAGCGATTGATGGGAAGGGAAAAAGGTAAAAGCGGGGAAGAAAGAAAGAATTATACGATTTGCATCAATGTAATGAATTTTTTTTCGGCAAGTGGTGGAGGAAGGAAAGGTCACGACAAAAGACTGGGTGGGTGGGACGGGAGGTTGGCGGAGAAGCGGAGGGTACAAGAGAAGGGCAAAAGCAAGAAGGGAGGAGGAGAAACAGGTAAGCGTAGGAGTGAGGGGAGTGGGTAAGTAGTAAGGAACGCTTGAGAAACAACGGGCAGCAGAATAACAGTGGACGGGGGGGGGGGCGCGAGGCTTGAACGTGCAAGAGGGAGCTCAGAACTCGTGGGAACCGTCAGGGTGAACGAATGATAGAGTAACATTTCACCCTCCTCGGAAGCAAACCCCCAAACCTCTCGTTCCAAGTGCTGTGGCAAGATATCACGATGAACAGAATCCCGCACTCTCTCCCTCTCTCCCCCCCCTCTCCCTCTCTCCCCCCCTCTCCCTCTTCCACTGCCTAACCTCATATTTTCGGATTACGGTAGGTTACCTATGAGTTTGCACAACTCCATCTCATCAAGCACTCGTAACTTATCCCCCGGTTGGCGGGGTGAACGATTAGTGTTTTGCGAGGCTCCGGAAGAGACTATTTGTTTAGGACCCAACAACGGTCAACACGTCCTCCTCCCCAAACCGACAATCAATAAACACACGTAAGAAAAATAAAAAATAAAAACAACGATAACCCCCCTAGACCCTATTTCCTCATCTCAATCCATCCGAGCTCCTCTACCGTATTAGCAACTGTTCTTTGCACAAATATCATATCTTGCAAAGAAAATCAAGAAAGAAAAAACATCAAATCTTTGGGTAACCCTTTTCGAAAATCATTGACGCCTACTCACGTGATCAATAGAACACGAATATTCCCCTTACCCGGAAAGCTGCGTTTCGGGGAGGGGGGGCACTGGTGGCTGTGACATACTGTACCGCAGACCGTACTGGTGCCGGTATCCTAGGTACCGTACTTGTAGATCGGAACACGGTATCGAGACCCACAGACAGGAATTTCCCCCCGCTTAGTATCCCGCTCGCTGTGGCACGCCCTCGCGATTCTCGGGGGGATTGGACAGGTGGGTATAATTGGCATCGGTATCCATGGCAGCGCTGGGCTACGGTAGGTGCTTGCGTGCCTGCATGATATTATGATATCCCGAGACGCACGAGTGTGATGCTTCACCCCATGCGGGTACCCTCCTCTCGGACAGCAGAGTGGTCTATCACGGCATGATGCTGGGGTGTGATAGGACACTATGGACCGGATTCCATCGGGAGGCATGTCGGGAAATCAGGTACGCGGCTCAGACTACCGGTACGAAACACGTAGAGTCTTTTGACGGCTCTTGTCCCCACCGTATCATTCCCTATTCCCGGCGTGTCGTGCCCCCGACACCAAGACCGCCTTACCCTGGCGGCTCAACGGGTCTCCTTCCGGACGTGCCTGGGTGCTCATGACGCGGAATCGAGGATGTTTTCGGAGCCGACGCAACGACCGTGATTTCTCCCCCATCATCCCGCTTGGGTACGACACTGCACTGGTGGGCTGGACTACAGGTATGGTTCCGGACAATGGAAATCACCACCATAACAACACTCAAAACATTAGGATTTAAAAACGTAATTGCAGTCTAACAACAACGCCTGGGTATTATTCCTTCACTATTTATCTTTTAAAACAATAATAAGATAAATTTACAGAAGGAATATAAAAAATAGCTGCAGGGTGAGGCTGGAGAATGAAATAAAGTTGACTAAATTTGTATGAGAGTACTAATTAAAATTAACAGCCAGATTTTTACACTAAGAATGGAGATCTGAGTGAGATTTCATGATGGTAGGGCTAAAGAATTAGGACGAAATTATATAACCATAGTAAAAAATAAAAAAATAAAAACCTAATAAACAAAAAAAAAAGAGGTTGAAAATTGAAAATGAACATCCTATAACTCAAAAGACAAATTTGCCTCCTAGTCAAAAATGAAAAGTACAGCTATGTATAGCAAGAGAGATCCAACAACAACAAAGGGAGAAAGTTCAGCCCAACACAGATGTGGATTATTTTACTACTGTTACTAACTCTGATAGTTTTAACTCTGTTTCCTCTTTGAAAGCAATATTTTGACTGATTTAGCAAGCGATGAAGAGTCAGATGAAGAAGAAGTTGAGCATGACATGTTAGTAGAGAAGAAGACAGCTTCTCTGCAATGGTATAAGGGAGCATCCAAGAAACTACATGGTAGATATAGAGCTGGCTTACACAGTTCTAAACAAAATAAAGAGTTAAGGCAGTAGGCTTTATCTAATGAAGTAAGAACGACATACAACATTGCTGCATTATGGCTGAGACAAGCTGACTTGGGTATAGCAAGGCCAAAAAACAACAGAGATATTACCATGAGCGGGAATTACCAATAAGACAAGCCCAGCCCAAAGGCCATACTGCATTACTAACCTATCAAATGGAACTTCACAAAGTTTCTGCAGGAGATGCACCGAAGATTTCTAAAAAGGAACAGCTTAGAAAGGACCAAGAATTAGCCATACAGAAGTTGAAAAAACTACTGCGCTGAAAAGGAGATCGAGTATGCCAGTGGTTGTTTGAACCTAAAGGATTAATTAGAAGTCAGTTAAAAAGATATGAGATGGTGCATGCATTCTTGTTAGCTCAAAAGAAAAGACCAACTGAAATATGTAAAGCTGTATTTCTATTTGTTGCCCATGCTTTTGGTCGTAGAAAGTATACAGTATGTTGAATTATTTGGTGGGAAAAGAATTGGATTCAGAATAAAGAAATTCCTATATCTGTTATCAAGAGAAGTGTAGTAAAGAAGTATTAGCAGATGGAATCACTGTTCTGTGATGAAGGTCTCCAATTAGCTGTGCAAGATTTTAGTGAAACTGCGAAACATAGTTTATTATTTTTCATAATATTCTTGATGACTTTGGTTTTAGCTGGCTAATAGATTGTACGGTAACTTTATGGGAATAACTTCTTGGAGATTAGCCAATCTAGTAATGAAGTACATAAATTCTCTGTCAGCATATATGATTACTACTTCTACTACTATGGGTAGTGAAGAGCTATCTATGAGTATTTCAGCATTTCCAGTTACTGAAACTTTAGTCGACTGTATTGGAAATACAGGCACTAGACAAAAGTCTTAGTGATGGCTCAGTCAGCCATGGCACATGAAAACAAAATACCCCTGAGTCCTTTCGCTTTAGACTACCCTTCAACCAACCATAATTCTTCTTCTTAGAATAGCTAGGATACCACTCTAAGAAATTTTAGATGCTATAAAAATGTTAAGAATCCTAGTGGAGTTGGGGATGCGACAGGTAACAATTCTTACATGTGATAAGGTAATAGTTCTTAGACTGAGGCCTATGAGATCTTGATAGCTTAGTTCCTTGACTCCTATTATATCACACCTATTCTATTAATCTTCTTAAGTCTTCACTTATGACTTAATCGTTCGATGTGGAACAAGAGATAGTTTTCTCACTTGGAAGGAAAGACAATTCCTAGGTTTCTTGAGATAAATCTTAAAGAGCATAAAGGTAGGTTTTTATTGATAAAATAGAAAGGTAGAAAATAAATGAGAAGAATGTGTGAAGAGCTTATACTCGCGGTTCTAGTAATCCTTTATATAGTTGCTCTTCACCTGGCATGACTCATACCTTGCATCACATGAACTCCATGACTCATAACTATGAGTCATGCCAAATCCCTCAGCTGACTCCTATGAGTCGCTGTGCGACATACCTAAAATCAATCAAAACATAATAACTAAGTCAGGTGGGCAACTTGCGTCACCTGAGTGAAGCCCATGATTTATACTTTGAGTCATGTGCGGAGATTATCATATTGTGTGACTCACAACTGTGAGTCATGAACAGGTAAACCTAATAACCTATGGTACACTAATGTGTGTCATGTGAAATCTCAACTTACCTATAGCTTGAAATCCCAAGTTATCTAAAATCTGCCTTGCTTAGTCATAGTTTGTGACAAAAAGGTGTTATAATTAGTGTTTTATAAATCTTGTAAATCAATTCCATTAATAATAAGCTTAATGCATTTTCTTTTATCTGTCATCCTATTTCTACAGTTAAATGTCATAGTTATTGACAATTCTATAATTTTCTACACGATTAATCAAGTATAGATTGAGTTTGTTGTTCTAACTAAGGCTTCATGAGCAGTATGGGTAAATATATTTGTTAGCTTCCTGAGTCTGAGGAATATTTCACTATAAGTACAATTCATGATAACTAGTGTGATAGTGGATAAGGATGGGGGAGAGATCTGAAATGCTATTAGAATTTATTTGAGTTTATTCTTGATTTATTATTCCTCTTCTTGCTATTAATTTATAATTTAATTTTTCTAACTGTTGCTGGACTATCATGCTGTAAGAACTCGAATGAATGAGTCTTATGCTAGAACGTTGGACTTGCCTCTCCTAGTAAGGTCTAGTGTTTTTTTCTTTTTTATTTGTCATAGAGAGCAGACTTTTCAGTGCGTTTCTCACCCATTTTCCTGGTGAGGAAATTCTGAACTACTAGTACATAGCACGAGAATAGTTTATTTGAGTTCGTATGGTAACTCTTCAACTCATACTAGTATGCACCCACTCCATGGACAGACTTTGTCTCACCTGGAGTGATTACCAAGACTTTTGTCTAGTGACTCCAGGTTTGAAGAAATGCTGCAGTATACTGTGGTGGAATCTAATGATGTAACTGGAGCGCTACGATGTTGCCCAAGTGTAGTTCTATGTACTACTCAGTGGTAGTTACACAACCTTGGGTTCAACTAGCATGATATTAAACTGAGGGTTTACTATGACAGTCATGAGTAGGAAGATGTTATTTTCTACTGAAAGGAATTTCTAAATCCCTTAGAAGCTTATTGGTCTCGGGTTGTGGAATTTAATGATAATGGTTCTATCATTCCAAAAATCTATCCTCCTGAAATTGAGGTTGATGCCAAAGATTATAACCTATATGCTTTAATTATTATTATATATGATGAATCTATATTTCAATCCTATGATAGCCGCCATTAAGCTTGGATTTATAAAGATTGCCAATTTAATCATTCAAAGGGAAGATGACAAGGAATCATGCTCTCAGACTTTTTACTTTCTTAGTTACACCTATGTACATCATCTCTTACTGTAGAGGATTGTACTATATAAAGATTGCCTAAATTTGCAACCAAGTGGTTCAAGTATGAACATGAAGCTAGTCACTGGGAAGGCAAGGACTTAGTTGCACATGTCTGTGAAATTGCAATTGTAATTGCTAAGGCAGTGTATCTAGCATATTAGTTTCTATTTGTCTTTAACAATTCTTCCAACAATAATCTTTTTGCTGATAATGCCCTTCAAGTCCAAAATATGAACCTATCTGATAGTGGCTAGCAACTATTTTTATGCAATGGGTACTTTACTGATAGTAATAATATTCTCCATACTTAGTAAATGTGAAGGTATCATGTTTCTTCAGTATCAAAGAAATTGGATTATTCTCTAGATAGAAATATGCTGTTTGTAGACCACCATGACACCAATTACAAAAAGACAAGTGAGAGTGAGAGTGAGATCGAGAATACTAGTAAAAGTCAAAAGGTATTGCCTGTGGGTCTAAGAATTAGAAGTACAAGTAGTACAGAGAAGAGAAATAATAGAGGATAGAGTATAAGAGGTAGACTTGATAAAAGCTATGGGTCCAGAATTTAATAGCAAAAGCGACTTCAGAGTATTTTAACTGAATGCGGTTTATAACCAACAAGAGGTTTACAATTTAAATGTCTAAAGAATATCTATAGGGACTGCCAAGATGTAAAGAATTGTCGTATCTGTACTCCTGATACAAGGTGTCTGCAGTGTAAGCAGAAGCAGGAGTATTCAGGACCATGCAATTGATGACGCAAGTAAAATGAATGTGAATGTGTCATTGCTGTCAAGGCCGTAAACAAAAAATCAAGTGTCTAGAGTATGAAGATTGTGAACCTTTGTGCAATTGTTAGGCTTGTGCCAAAATATGTCCTCACTGTATATTACCTAATATTTATTGCTTTATCTTATTTTTATAATTTTAGTTCAAATTCAATTAATACTACAAAATACAGATTGTTGTGCATGACAGGTTATATGCCACCAAACTGACTTTTAAGCTCAGATTGATTTGCTTACGGAAACTATTAATAGTTATTATTATCTTACTGAATTTTTTCCTAAATTTCATTGCAAATTAAACTGGATCAAATATTATTGTGGAGGAGCTAAGAGATATGTATGAGATAACTGTGAATGTAGTTTGGATAGCCTGCAGCCGACAATTCCTTCAGCTCTTGCATCTGTTCTGAATAGTATGATTCATGCCTTTTATCATCAATGCATGCAAAATATTCAGGCATATCATGATAGATACCATTTTGGTACACCTGAATTTAATGGTTTTTTAAAAACTTATAAATCTCATAGGCAGACTTATTTCTTGTATGAAAATACCTGAGTTTATTTTTTAGCTAATATCTTTTCAATACATGTTCTGTGTAAATATTCTTTTTATTTGCTCTTCTTTTCTAGCTAGTAACTTGCAGATGATTAGCTTAGATGTACTCACTTCCTGACCAACCTTAGTGGCATGGTATTTTACATATAAACATCACCGCACACAATACCATATTTATAATCATATATTATCACTCGCATGTCTTGGCGGCTTACTAAGCTTCTCAAAATTGACACAGGGGGTGATTTCCATTGTCCGGAACCATACCGTAGTGGTACAGTACCGTACTCCACAATCGTGCTTCGGATTATTATTCCCCTGGGCGCCGCGGATACCGGTAGAAAGCATTCCAAATCACCAAATCCAAGCAGCACAGCCCCCCAACCTACCGTACGAGTACGAGTACCGTACCGTATCATAGTCCTCCAAGGACCCGAGCACAACTAACTTACTGTGCTCGCGCGTGCAACTATGTCGCCCCTTGCTCAATCACCAAATATCACCCCCCGCACCTTTTCCAATAATTCCAATTAATCGTGACCTTGCCGCCAAGCCACCCCTCCATAGCCACCCCACAACAGCCCTCCCCAACTTCACGTATCAAAAAGCGGCTAGCATTATCCCGTAAATTCCCAGTCGCAATTCAGAACTCCGCCTCACTCCCGCCAAATTGTAGATGCGCCCGCTAGTCGTCTGTACTTGCGTCCTCTGCACAACCACAAACTTCGTTCCGCCCATCCACAAGTATATAATGGTGATCTCCCGTCCCCTCACTCCCACTAAACACTCTCAGTGACTTAATGGGCTCATCCTTCAACGCTTCCACCACCAACCAGACCACCAACAAAATGTCCACAAACACTAACCCGCCGGTCCAGAAGTCCGACGACGAATGGCGTGCGATCCTCTCCCCTGGTACACTGCTCCCCCATCCCCCATCCCCTCTCCCCCGCCTGCTGACGTTCCCCAGAGCAATTCCGCATCCTCCGCGGACGCGGCACCGAACCACCCAACAGTGGGACCTACCACCACCACAGCTCCCCCGGGGTCTACACTTGCGTGGGCTGCAGCGCGCCGCTGTACAAGAGCACCAGCAAGTTCGACAGCGGGTGCGGGTGGCCGGCCTTCTTCGAGGGCGTGTCGGGCGCCATTGGTCGGCGCGAGGATGGGAGCTTGGGCATGCACAGGACGGAGATTATCTGCACCAATTGTGGCGGCCATTTGGGACATGTGTTTAAAGGGGAGGGCTTCGGCGGCGCGGCAGATGAGAGGCATTGTGTTAACAGCGTTTCCTTGACTTTTAAACGGGGCTGAGAAAAGGTGTGGGGCAGTGGCAAAGATCCGTGGTCAGCAAGTGGGTGGCTTTCGGTGTCTGGAAGAGGGTTGTGACGTTTTTTTGTTTTCTTTTGTTTACTGCTATGCCAATTTAGAGTGGGTGTGGGTATGGTAATTTTTTTTTGGAGTACATTCGTTGAAAGGGCTATGCTATAATATGGAGAGTATCATACCGGTGCATACAGTACGTCCGGCGATATATGGTCACGCTTCTCGTCTCATAACCTCTCTCCTTCGCTTCCACCCCTTTCAGACTTCTCACTATGTCCCGCGCTCTTCCCATCTTTCTTACCCCCTCCGCGCCTTCCCCTGTAGACCCCCTACTTCCGATCCAACGTCTTGTGCAGTTTGTGCTCCCTCACTTGCGTATAACACACAAACGCCAAAACACCCAGTCCAAGTGCCGTCCAGAAGACCGCGTGCAGCGCATCCATATATGCCAGCGCAGCCTTCCCCTTCCACACCTCGGACAACTTGTCAAATTCATCGAACCTCTCCCTCAGCCTCCGGATAATCGCTTCCGCATCCTCCCCACTCCCCAAGTGCGCGCGCAATTGCCTCACCAACACATTCTGGAAGATGGAACTACTAATAGTCGTACCAATTGTGCTACCCGTGGAACGGAATGCATAGTTGGCAGATGTAATGACGGCTTGTTCGCTGTGGTCTACCGAGGAGATTAGCGCTAGTAGAGCGACGGTTAGTGTTCCGCCGTAACCGGAGCCGACCATGAAAAGGTTGAAGAATTGTGGGAAGAGCGGGGTTGTCAGGCTGAATGCACAGATCGAGAGCACTCCCAGGACGAATGTTAGCATGACGGTTTGGCCGAGGATGTAGTATTTTCCCGTGGCATTTATGATGAGGCCTGCCCCTAGGCTTCCGATTGAGATGCCGATGGCGAAGGGTGCTAGGCGGAGGCCGGCCTGGGCAGTGGAGTAACCGCGGAGGATAAAGTATATTGGAGTGTAAAAGTACTGTTGGACAATATCATTAGCTTTGTGTGTGTCTCGGTGGGTAGGCGCCGACGCACAACTGCAAAAACGCTCATCACCATAAACCAATTTGCAAAGCAAACCGCCAACACAGTTCTATTCCCCAACAGTCTAACCGGGATGACAGGCTCATTTGCATACCACAACTCGACCATGGAGAAAGCCCCTAGAAAAACCGCGCTCAAGGGTAGACATGTCATCACAAGGGGGTGGGTCCATGGCAGCGTATTCCCGCCTGTATTCAACGCTAGCAAGAGGGTAACCAGAGAACACAGCAACGTGCCCGAACCAAGGTAATCAATCCTTCGATACCTTGCTTCTTCGGTCTTCTTCACGGGAATATTCACGAAAATTGACACCAATGCAGCGGAAATCGCTATGAACGGGATTTGTAGGAGGAATGCCCATCTCCAACCAATCCAACCATGGATAAACCCTCCGTAGACCCCACCAAGTGCTGCGCCTGCTCCGTACGCAATATTACCACCGCCCTGGGCGACTCCGCGCCTCCGCAGGGGGACCAAGTCCGTCGCTATGATGGAACAAATTGTCATTAATCCACCGCCGCCAGCACCGGCTATTACTCTTCCAATAATCATGGTGTATTGATCCTTCGCAAGCCCGCACATCAATGTTCCCACGCCAAAAAGAACATTACACAGCACAAGGACAGATTTGCGTCCGTAGATATCCGTTAATTTTCCAAAGAGCGGTTGCAAAGCGGCATTGGCGATGAGGTACCCGGTTGCTATCCAGGAGATAGAATTGAATGAAGAGAATGAAGTCGAAATTGGTGCTAGGAGAGTAGTTATCACGGTAGTGTCGACTGCGCCCAGGAAGACGCCAACCCAAGCTGCCAGCAGGACAATGCAAAGTTTTGCAAAAGGGAGTTCTTGTGGGAGGTCGTTAGCTGCATTCTGATTGTCGGTACGCGGGGGGGCATTGGTGTGCCCATTTCCTAGGTGGGGTTGCGACTCTAGAGTCGGGTCGTTGCTATTCCTGAGGAGAGGTGTCGACTCATCGTGCGGCGAGGGTCGAGCCTCAGCAACGGCAGTCGTCATTTCGGGCTGGTTCCTCTATCTCGTAAACAGCAAATGAATTAAGTAAAGGGTGGGAAGACCAAAAGCGAAGGCAGGGGGGTAGGTGCCGGGAGAAAAAGAGAATACTGAAGGATTGTGAGATGTTTCAGGAACAAAGCTCTTTGGGATCACTGTATCGTAGCTGCGCGGGTTCAGGTGTCACCGGCACTTGGTATCGGATGGGTTAGCCAGAATGTCATGGCAGGTCACGAGAGCAAGAGCCGATCTCCGATCTTGGAATAGCGGGTGATCCCGGGCCAATGGCACCACACCTTTCGCTTTGGGTAAAGGCCCCGATGATTAACTTAATCATGCCAAGGTGGTGGCGTCCACCACCCCTGGGAGCTCGCGAGCTCGCAACCGGGGGCACTCTGGGGGAGTGCCTACCATGTCAATGATAATTTCATACTCAACGATAAATTATTACATGCGATGGAAAATATATGCAAAAAAAAAAGACCAATTTCATGAATTAAAGGCTTCTAAATTTTATTATTCTGAATGCCATCATTTCCTGTGATATCCTGATACTTTTATATTTTATTTAGTGATTTTTTTGACCTTCTTTCAGCTGGCATTGTGCGGTTGGTAAGACTGTAGGCACTGTGAAGCCTCCCCCCACAAGTGTAACAGACAGGGTCTGAGGGTCAGGTAGCCCAAGGCATACCACAATCAGAGCAGGCAAGAACTTGGTGGCGAGGTCTGGGTACAGGCATACAACCGAGCAGAGTTGTACGAGGTTTGGGGTTTAGGGGTTCAGGGTTAGGGTCCATGGGTTCAAGAGGATGCGAAGTAGAAGAGAGGTGTAATTCCTAGGTACAGGTGTCCAAATTCAATCGAAGATTATTTATACTTGTTGTGTCAAATGTGGCTTATGATAGAGTGCCACCCTGATAGCAGCTTAACGCCAATCAGGATCCACTGATTGGACAGGGGCGCAGCTACCCCTACAAAAACTGGAAACTAAATACAAGATATAGTGCAAAGCGAATCAAACCAGGACCTCCAAACTAGGCAAATGCAATGTGGAATTAGTTAACGGCAACATCAAATTTGAAGGAAAAAAAACCACAGGGAGATAGGCAATGCCAGGCAGAAGAAGCTGGTGGTTTTTATTTTTGAATTAAAAAATTCTATGAGATGTAATTCCAGCTCAAAGTGCTGAATTTTTGGTAAGAGTGAAACAAGTGATAGAATCTACCTACTGACAGACTGGAAAATACTATAGAGTATAAATGACTGAGACATAGAAATAATTAGTGATTAGTATAACAGGCATAAAACAGTCTAATTCTGGTTAATCCTCTATTCTATATATTTCTCTTAACATGTTATTTGATCTTACTCATCATATCTTGGCAATTATTGGCCCAAGTCCAATCGGTTACAATGGAATTGCCGTTTCACTAAAGGATCTGCCTTTAGGTACTTTGTACCATACCAAACCTCCAAATCCAAAGTATTAACCACCTCCTGTAAGCAAGCTAATACGAAATGCTAAAGTACAAGTACATTACCATTCTGGTACCCACTCACACCACCTAGCCAGGCCATGGGAATCTCAACCAAATCAAATAAAACACTACTACTAGCAGCACCACCCCAGCCTTACAACCCATACCCGAAGGCATAATTATAAACAAAAGAAATACTGCTTCCAAAACCTACCAGCAACCCATTAAAGCATTCAGATTGCAGGATGAAGAACTGTAGTGACAACCTCCTCATCAACTAGTTTCCTGGAGCTCTTCCTATAATAGCCATCCGAAGCTACCCCAGAAGTTGGTGTTATTATCATAGGTATTCCAACCTATGTAGAGCTGTCTATATTCACTTGTAACGGTCCGGGTCTGAGGGTGGGGTAGTTCAAGGCATACCATGATTGGAGCAGGTAGGAGTTCGGAGGTGAGGCCTAGGTACAGGTATATACATCAGGAAAGATTTCCACTCGCGTCCTGTACATCTTATGCATCAGACACACAGGACACACAGGACACAAACCCTTAATCAAGATGCACCAACACTGCCCCTGATGTCCGGACCCCTGCTTCTGCACCGCACTGTATCCGGACGTTATCTGCATGCTGGCCCCTACATGCCATGTATCCTGAAAACTGTCGCCATCTTGCCCGTCTGTCCAGATACCCCTCTTTGAATCCCAGTGGCATCCTGGGTCATACAAATTCTTCTATCTAGCATTCCGACGGCACTAGACTGCCCTTTATTGCCTCGGAAGATCCTGTCCACTCTGATTCCATCATGATCTCGTCAGGAGCTTGCAATATATATCTCATCCCTCTTGGTACCCCACAATCCAGGACGTCTGCGTCCAGATAATGTGACTTAATCCCAGATGTCGTGATACATTTCGTTCTCCTCCAGATTATCTCACGCCTGATGCTGGCGTCTGGACTTCTTGACTTACCTCTTGAGGTATGTAGATTTTGCACATGTGCAACTGGCCTGATCAGGATACCTTTACCGTGAGCCTACCCTAATCATTTTGAAGTCCTGATTTCTATGCCAGGTTTGAGGCACCTTCAGAATCCTGGGCACACACTTCTTATAGAATCCAGACACCAGCCACTACAGTGCCTTCAATATGGAGATCTGCTCACAGCTGACTCATGTTTATTCATTTGAACTCTACAGGACCATCTTGGCTATGCTATTATATCTGGTGATGTTTAGTAGCACCAATTTTCTCTCCCCCCCCTTACAGCTTCTTGCTATAGTCGCTCAAACCCTTCCATTATGAACATGCTCTTTCTACATCTGTCACTCCCTATTAAGGCAATGCTACAAGTCTCCCTGCCAGTGCCCACATCCAGTGCCCTGTTGCCATCTCCTAATAGATTACCAGCATCAAAATTGCCCCCCTTGTCCTGTATCCACGTCCTGTGAATCCTCTAGACTGAGCAAGAGCTAAGAGCTAAGATGTCTGAAATCAATATTCTGGCTGTCTGTTGCCGAATGTTCTGTGACTTCAAGGGGATCCTCTTGACTTGTCAAGCCACAATTGAGAAACTCCAGTCTGTCACCATAGGGCATCAGGTTAGTATCTGCAATTTCCGACATCCTAGTTCTGCTCTCAGAGCGTTCCAGTCATTATCCCCTTTCAGCCGATCCTGTTGGATGTCATAGTCTTGCTCTATCTTTTTCTCAATAGTTTGACAAATGCTTTGTACAATTATCTCCTGGACCGTGGACCGACATTTACGCCAAGTTTGTCTCTGCCATTCAAACAGGTCTTATTTGTTTCGTAACAAGTTAGCCAGATTCACTGCTGACGTACAACGGGAATTCTACATCCTCACCTGTAACCAGCTCAGGCTTAAAGTCCCTCTACTTGACATAGATCCCTGTTTGCCACACCCTGAGGGTATGGCAGAGTATCGCACAAGTCAAGTAAATCATAGTGCCTCTGATGATGTCCATAAAATTGATGTCTACGAGACCTCGCATTTTCTTTCTGGCAAAGTACTTACCACAGATTGCTTTTGGGATCTGTGGAGCAAAGAATCGTAGCCACAGACGCTGTGTCCAGTTCATTAGGGGTCAGCACTGATCAGTACTCTAGGATACTTAATCACAGGAGACAAACCTCATACCCTTTCGGGTTGTACATGAACCTGTCATCTTTCAGGAGATGGTCCACCCTCTATGCAGTAGCCCCATGTTCTTCTGTGAGCCCACATAAATTTACTATGTCATTCTTCACATGATAGACAAACCGCGCTCGTATGCCAATGAGTTTGTTGCATATCTTTCGCTATTAGTACCATATCCCACATCTCAACACATTAAGCTAACTTTATTTACTATGATTATGCTGTCCTCCAATGTCTCTATTGGCCCTGCAGAGGGAATGGAGTACTGCACCTGACGCTAAATGTGGTGCACTCTAGATGTTAATATAACCAGATGCATGAGTAGGTCAACAAATAGAGTATAATTGAGAATGAGATCCTTCGCCAAGTCTAAGATGGTTCTTTCAGGGCCCATGACCTGATTTCGCCTCATGCTAGTGCCGTTCGAGCTCTCTTGCTAACTAGCAGGACTTGAGCTTTTAACATCTGATAACTGTGCACTATCATAGTCTAGGCGAGAGGAAAATTATCCTAAACTTGATGATGGAAAGACAGGCGGGTTATAGGCACCACCGCAAATTATCTGCCGGGGCAGAGTTGGTGTCCGCTGAGAATCAGCTGCATGCTGTAAGCTAGTATTTGTCGAAATACTCAGTGTTTTGGGTCGGTTGCCCAGACAGCTCTTTGCTCCTTGTACTACATGATGATGTCCAGATGTGGGTCTGTCAGCAGTATGGGAGTCTGTATCTGGATTAGTTTCGGCTGACTCATGTGACACCTGATACTCTTCACTGCTATCGTAGGTATCATGCACCGTTTCTGCATTTTCCTGGCCATCGGGTTTGGTTTCGTATTCAGCACGCAGCATACTCTTGCTTGTAGTACTGCGCTGGCGCTTCAGTGGTTGTGCTAATTGGCTTGCAATCAGCATTGAAGAAGAGCGACAATGGGACGGCTGCTCGTTCGACTGTGTGGTAGGGGAGTTGTGAGCATTGTTTGACTGGGATTTGGATCTTGATGTTGGTTTCGCGGATGCCGTGGCATCAGGCCCAACGTCGTGTATATGCTTATATGGATTACCAACTAGGGGGGTTAGCTGACTGCGTGAATGTGCTTGTTTTTTTGGTATTTTTTAATTGATACTTAGATATGCCAGAGAAGAAAAAATATGAAGAAAGGCCAGATTTGTATTGCAAGCACAAAGAAGGTCTGAGGTTTGAGTGGTTTTCTTGTGTCCAGTGGGACACGCCAGGTCTTATACGCGAGGGCTAAGAGATGATTGGTATAATTACTATCTATCACTAGGTATTGTTGCAAAAGATTCCGCCATAAAATGACACCTTTTAGGGTTTGGTGTGGTACTTGTGATTGAATAATACTGTAATACACTCGGCCATCTTAGCACATGGTGAATCTTGGATGAAAAGACTATCATTCTATAATATTGCGAGAGAATTGTTTACCAAATGTAATTTCGGGAATATTGAGCCATATGTCTACAGCAAAACCATAG